AGTGCAGTGATGGCGAACCTATGACACGCAAACTCATTTTTTTGGTTGATTTTTCTTTGTTAAATGGCACTTACATACATAAAATAAATATCAAACATATAAATCTTTGTTTTACTATGATTGCAAATATCAAAAAATTTCTCTATGTGACACGGCACCAGAGTTAAGTTAGGGTTTTTCAAAATGCTGACACGCCGAGCTCCAGAGGTTCGCCATCACTGAACTAGTGGGTCAAAGAGGAAGTCAAGATGGAAATCAGACAATACCTTGAGACAAATGAAAAGAAAATACAACCTTACAAAATTAATGGGATGTACCAAAAGCACTTATTACAGGAAAGTTTCTAGCTATACAGGCCTACCTCCAGAAGGAGGAAAAATCCCACATAAACAATCTTAATTTGCACCTGAAGAAACTAGAAAATGAGGAATAAACAAAACCCAAAGTAAGTAGAAGGAAGGAAATAATAAAGATCAAAGTGGAAATAAATTAAATAGAAAAACAGTAGATTCATGAAATTAAGGGATGGTTTTCTGAAAGGATAAATAAAGTTGGCAAGCCTCTAGCAATACTCATTAAGCAAAAAATAGAGAGAACACAATGAGAGAAGTGAGAGATTACAATCAACACCACAGAAATACAAAGGATCATTAAAGAATACTATGAACAATTATATGCCAACAAATTAGACAGTCTAGAAGAAATGGATAAATTTCTAGAAATACAACTTTCCAAGACAAACCAGGAAGAAACCGAGAATCTGAACAGACCAATTACTAGCAATAAAACTGAAACATTTAATAAAGAAAACTCCCAACAAACAAAAGCCCAGGATAAGATGACTCCACAAGTGAATTCTATCAAACACTTAAAGAAGAATTAGTACCTATCCTTCTCAAACTATTCCAAAAAAGTGAAGAGAAAGGAATACTTCTAAACTCATTCTACAAGCCAGCATAACCCTTAAACCAAAATCAGACAAAGACACTAAAAAAGAGAATTACAGGACAATATCTCTGATGAACATAGATGCCAGATTATCAACAATAACAACAAAAGAAACACACACCACAAATTTAACAGTACTTTAAAGGAATTTACACAGTGATCAAGTGGGATTTATACCAGGGATACAAGAGTGGTTCAACATCCACAAAACTAGTACTGTGATTCATCACATCAGCAAAACTAAGGATAAAATTCATGATGATATCAATAGATGATGAAAAAACATTTGATAGAATTCAACATCCATTTATGATTTTAAAAAACCTCCTAATAAAGTGGGTATAGATGGAGCTTAACTTGATCAGGTTATATATGTAACAAGCACACAAGTAACATCAGCCTCAATGGCAAAAACATGAAAGTTTTTCCTCTAAGATCAGGAGTGAGACCAGGATGCCCACTCTCACCACTACTATACAATGTAGTATTGGAAGTCTTAGCCACAGTAGTCAGACAAGAAAAAGAAATTAAGGCACCCATATTGGAAAGAAATAAAACTCGCTATTTACAGGCAACACAATACTATATATAGAAAACCCTAAAAAATTCACCCAAAATTAATAGAAATAATAAAGGAATTCAATACAGTAGCAGGATACAGAATATGCAGAAATCTGTCACATTTCTATAACGATCAGAAGGAGAAATTAAATAAGCAATACCATTTCTAATTGTATCAAAAAGAATAAAATACCTAAGAATAAATTTAACCAAGAAAGTGAAAGACCTGTACTCTGAAAACTGTAAAACATTGTAGAAAGTGAAAAGGACCTAAATAAGTGGAAAGATATACCATGCTCATGGATTAGAAGGATTAATATAATTAAAATGACCATACTACCCAAAGCAATCTACAGATCCAATGCAATTCCTAAAATAACAATGGCCGCCCTGGCCTGTTTGGCTCAGAGGTTACACTTGCAGGGGTGGGGAACCTTTTTTCTGCCAAGGGCCATTTGGATGTTTATAACATCACCTGTGGGCCATACAGATTATCCACTTAAAAATTAGCCTGCATGCAACATAGAGATCTTGTAACGTAAAAACTCACACCTGAAACCTATATGTTCATGTTGACCAATATCACCCCAATCAATTTAATAAAAAAAATTAGCCTGCTATATTTGGTCAAACATTTAATTAACTCACCCCTAATGCCTTGGTAGGCCAGACCAAATGACTTCGCCTGCCTTATGTGGCCTGCAGGCCAAACGATCCCCACACCTGGGTTAGAGTGTCAGCCCATACACTTAAGGGTTCAATTCCTGGTCAAGGGCATGTACCTGGGTTCCAGGTTCAATCCCTGGCCCCAGTCAGGGCATGTGCAGGAGGCAGCCATTTGATGTGTCTCTTTCATATCAATGTTTCTCCCTCTCTCTCACCCTTTTTTTTCCTCCCTCTCTCTCCCTCCCTTTTTTTCCTCCCTCCCTTCCACTTTCTAAAAATCAATGGAAAAAAATATCCTCAGGTAAGGATTAACAACAACAAAATAGCAATATGCCTTCTCAGAACTAGAACAATTAGTTCTAAATCTTATATGGTACCACAAAAGACCACAGATAGCCAAAGCAATCTTGAGAAAAAAGAACAAAGTTGGAGGTATAATGCTCCCTGATTTTAAACTATATTACAAACCTATAATAATTAAAACAGTATGGTACTGACACAAAAACAAACACATAGATCAATGGAACAGAATAGAGAGCCCAGAAATAAACCCTCATTTATATGGTTAACTAATCTACAACAAAGTTTAGAGTATAAAATGGAGTAATGACAGTCTCTTCAATAAATGGTGCTGGAAAAAATGGACAGATACATGCCCCTGCCCCTGCAAAAGAAAGAAAACAGGACCACTCTTACACCTTATACAAAAATAAATTAAAAATGGATGAAAGACTTATATGTAAGACCTGAAATCATAAACCTCTAGAAGAAAAGAAAGGTAATAAGCTGTTTGACACCAATCTGAGTAGTATCTTTTAGGATACATCCCCTCAACCTCAACAAGGGAAACAAAAGCAAAAATAAACAAATGGGACTTCCTCAAACTAAAAAGCTTCTGCACAGTGAAGGAAATCATCAACAAAACAAAAACAAAAACAACCTACCAATGGGAGAATATATTTACAAATGATATCTGATAAGAGGTTGATATCCAAAAGATATAAGAAACTCATACAACTCAATAACAAAACAAAAAAAACCCCACAACAATCTAATAAAATGTGCAGAGGACATGAAAAAACATTTCCCCAAAGAAGACATACAGTGGCCAACAGACATGAAAAGATGCTCAACATCATTAATCATTAGGGAAATGCAAATCAAAGCCACAATGAATATCACCTCACACGTCAGAATGGCTGTTATCAAAAAGTCACAAATAACGTGTATTGGAGAAAAGAGAACCCTGTGCACCATGAGGGGAACTGCAATTGGTGTAGTCAATATGAAAAACAGGATGAATATTCTTCTGAGTATTTATCCAAAGAAAACAAAAACATTAATTTGAAAAGATATATGCACCCCTATATTCATTGCACAATTATTTACAATATTTACAAAAGCCAAGATGTGGAATCAACCTAAGTGTCCATCAACAGATGAAGGGATAAAGCAGATGTGAGAATATATATATATATATATATACACACACACACACACACACACACACACACACGTATACACACATACACAATGGAATATTACATAGCAACAAAAAGAGTGAAATCTTGTCATCTGGGACAATATGGGTTGATTTTGAGGGTATTATGCTAAGTGAAATAAGTCAGAGTAAGACAAGTACCATATGGTTTCACTTTTATGTGGAATCTAAAAAAAAACAAACACCCACAAACAAAACAAAAACTACTCATAGAAACAGAGACCAAAGGAATAGTTACTAGAGGGGAGGATGTTGCAGGGAATGGTTGAAAAAAGCGAAGGAGAAGAGTCAATAATATGTAATAAGATTACTAGAATTAGTGATCACATTGTAAGGTATAAAAATGTGGAATCACTATATTGTACACATGACACTAATGTATCTAGTATAACACTGTACATTAAATTTAAAATTTTAATTTAACAATAAAAGCTTTCAAGTCAACCTACAGCCATACAGTGAATCCCCAAGGTACAGGATTAAATGGAAAATGGAAGGTTCAGAATTGCTTAGGTCAGGGTACTATCCTTTGCGATTTTAAAGGAAATTCAAACAAATGCAGAGAATGTTTTGGAATGATACCGTTAACAATGGTTCCTCGTGGAATAAGGGCTTAGGAGTGGGTGGGAGCGAGCCTTGCATTTTCACGGTGTATTCTTTTATACTACTTAACTAAAACAAGCAAACCAACCAACCTTTGACATGTGTTGCCTCAAACATTACTTAATGGGTGGCGGCGGCAGGGGAATTCAGCTCTACCTCCACCTCCTCTAAGTAAACATTTGATTGTCAGACTCGGGTCCCAAGTGTAAACAGGGAAAGGCTTTCAGCGGAGGATAATCAATACGGCTCTGAACTGCCAAGGGACAGGAAGATTTCCTCCCACTGGAAATCTTTAAAGACACTCCCCCTCCTGTGCTTTGCAAAGGGCTAAGTGGAGGAAATGGATGCGAGGATTCATTATTCTTTTGAGTCTTTGGCCTCTGGAGTACTTAAGGAATTGAACCACAGCTGCAGTCACTCTAAATTCAATGTGTGATGTGCTGTGGGTTTTAATTTCTTCTGAAGGAATCATTTTCATTTCTAGTTGGCAGGTTTTTTTTAAACTTCACTTCTCCAAACGGATCTGTCGGTCAAGACTGCATCCGGGAGCCCCTCTTCATAACCATCAGGACGGGACCTCTGGTTTTGAGAAAGTCAGCCCCAGCGTGGCACACTGACCTCTCTGTGCCTTGAACCAGGCACATGATCCCTGGGTACCCCAAGAAAGCCAAGGTCGGACATTAATTGCCTGCCTCTGCCTTGTTTTTCCATCCTGCTGCAGGATTTAGATCTGTTCCTCTGAAGAACGGGTACAGTGAAGACATTGAGCTGGCTTCCCTCCTGGTTTTCTGTGAGATGCGGCCAGTGCTGGTGAGTGGAGAGACACTTCGGGGTTCCCTGAGCTATGTCTGCTGGTGGGGTGGAAATGGTCAAGGAGTATGCTTGGCTGATGGACTTAAACCCACCGAGAAATATTTAGCCAAACTTGCCACATCATTACAAAAGAATTCCTTTCAGATACAGATTTCCCCATAGGTCCTAGGTTTTTTTCTCCCAGCATCCTTCCTTCTTGGAGAATACTGCATGATTCTAGGAGTGGCTATGTCATTGGAAAGGGAGACGCTCATTGGAAGCTCCTCATAGTTTCATTTTAGCAAGAGCCAGGCGAGATGATGCTCTTCTAGGTAAGTTCATCCTTCCTGGGTGCCATTCTCTGCCTGTTGGTTTTGGGTAATCCCTGAAAAGCACCCAACAAGGCCTTGTCATGGGGAAGGATATTCATAGAGCACAACTCCCCACAGTAAGCGGCGTTCTTCTTGTGGTTCTCTCTGCTACTGGAGGAGCTTGCTTTTTTGGTCCTTCTGTTTTGCCAAGACCTTGAAGATATTTAATCCCTCCTTTCATTAGCCAGTTAGGGTAGACTTAGCAGAAAGGGCTTGGCCTCCTCGAACTATGCAAGATGTTGAGATGGGATGCTGAGAACACAGGTCCAAGCTGTAGGTAGTTAAGGCCTTGGTTTGATGGTGGGTGCAGATGTGGATACTGACTGTGATTCTGGACTTTCAGATTCTGAATCTTGGTGGTCCCTCCCACAGAATGAAACCCACTCAGTGTGTGTTTTTGCAAGTGCTCATACGTGGCCAATACAATCTCCAAAGACCTTTCCAGTCCCTTGCCACAAAACCCAGTGTAGGCCAATATAATCTCCGAAGACCTTTCCAGTCCCTTGCCACAAAACCCAGTGTAGGCCAATATAATCTCCGAAGACCTTTCCAGCCCCTGGCCACAAAACCCACATCAGCCTACTGGGGGATTTCTGTGGTCAGTCCAGTTTCTTGGGATAAACTGGGATCATGGTTCCAGACCCCAGTAGGCTGATTGGGTTTGGTCAGTTCTCCTAGATACACATCTTGTTTTCTCAATCTGGTTGTTCTCTGGATTGAAAAGTCACAGCCTGTCTGGTTTGCCATTCTTTTGGCTGCAAGAACAACACAGTGATGTCCTGGCTGGTTTAACTCAGTGGATAGAGCGTCGACCTGTGGACTGAAGGGTGCCAGGTTTGATTCTGGTCATGGGCACGTACCTTGGTTGCAGGCTTGATCCAGGCCCAAGTGTGTGGGAGGCAACCAGTCGATGTCGAATGTTTCTTTCTGTTTAAAAATCAATGGAAAAATATCCTCGGGTGAGGATTAACAGCAACAAAAAGAACTATGCAGTGATTTGGAAATTGCTAATTTGGGAATTTCCAGAATCTAGCTGAGAACTACCAAATGGGGCAGGAGGATGGCAGGGGTGGGGACGCCTTTTAACAGCCATAGTCCATGCAGTAAAAATTCATGAACTCGACTCACAGGAGAGAACATAGCCTTTTCTGCATAGCTGTTTCAGTTTGGCAACTGTGATAGTTTTACACTCCAAAGCATTTTACAAGCATCAAGATGAAAGGGGATGCAAAAATAAGAAGAGACAGAAAACAATAAAAACAGGAAGCAGAGACTTAAAAGGCGCACTAGTTGGAGGCCCTAGAGCAGGGGTGGGCAAACTTTTTGACTCGAGGGCCACAATGGGTTCTTAAACTGGACCGGAGGGCCGGAGCAAAAGCATGGATGAAGTGTTTGTGTGAACTAATATAAATTCAAAGTAAACATCATTACATAAAAGGGTATGGTCTTTTTTTTCAATAGTTTTATTCATTTCAAACCCAGTTTGCCCACAGCTGCCCTAGAACCTCAGTGGCAGTCAAAGACATCACTTTCTGTTGGTAAAACATAAGCTCACAACGATGAAATTCTGTCTCAAAAAGATAAGGGGGTAGATGATGGAAAGTTTTCCATTTTGAAACAGTTTTTAAATGGTAGTGCTTTGGACTCTGTCAAAATAAGTGCAGTGTTTATGTGAAAATTATAGTTTTCACTTGAACCTTGAGTTACGGATTAAAAAATCACCTTTCATAATTCTTCCAAAGATAGAAATGCTTGGTCATGAAAGTTTATATCAATTCCTTTCTTTACCAGGCGTCTGAGTCAGCCAGTGGGTCCTTGTTGGAAATGAGCAAGTCTTAAATTTCTCCTCTTTTGCAGTGAATTATGCATTTGTCAATTAATCATTAATAAGACTATCTGAGGTCTTTAAGAAGTCCATTAACAGACTAAAGCCACAGTATATTATTTTGTATTAATGATTTTTAAAAACTGCACACATGCCTGGCTAGTTTTCTCAGTGGTTAGAACCTTGGCCCACACACCAAAGGGTCATGGGTTCGATTCTTGTTCAAGGGCACATACCTCGGTTGCAGGTTCAATCCCCAGCCCCAGTCCATCTCTCTCTCTCATATCAATATTTCTCTCTCTCTTTCTCTCTCTCTCCCTCCCTCCCTTCCCCCCACCCCCTTCTTCTTCCCTTCTACTTTATCTAAAGATCAGTGGGAAAAAATATCCTCTGGTGAGGATTCAAAACAAAACAATAACAACCATGTATAGACCAGATTGTGTGGACAATATAGTCTTATAATTTGGGGGAAGAGATGAATAGATAAAGCTAGCATTTGGTCTGTTTTCTTCCTTCATTTCCAGGCCAATGCATTTTTAAAAAAATATATTTTATTGATTTTTTACAGAGAGGAAGGGAGAGGAATAGAGAGTTAGAAACATTGATGAGAGAGAAACATCGATCAGCTGCCTCCTGCACAGCCCCTACTGGGGATGTGCCCACAACCAAGGTACATGCCCTTGACCGGAATCTAACCTGGGACCCTTCAGTCTGCAGGCTGACGCTCTATCCACTGAGCCAAATTGGCCAGGGCCAGGCCAATGCATTTTTAAGTGTAATATGATAATAACAAATTCCTGTATACATGTATAGTTTTTTTTTATTTAAAGCAGTTTTTTAAAGATATTTTTATTGGTAGTGTTTTGATACATTTTTATTGATTTTAGAGAGGGAGAAGGAGAGAGAGCTAGAAACATCAATGATAAGAGAATCACTGATCCGCTGCCTCCTACACGCCCACCACTGGGGACTGAGCCCGCAACCTGGGCACATGCTCCGACCTGGAATTGAACCTTGACCTTTTGGTTCATAGGTTGACACTCAGTCACTGAGCCACACTGGCTGGGCAGGGTTTTTTGTTTGTTTGCACTACTGACATTTGGGGCCAGATCATTCTCCGTGGTGGGAGCTATCCAATGAAATGTAAGATGCTTAGCCGCTCCCTGCCCTTGACCTACTAAATGCCAGTAGCACGCCCTTCCCCTAGTATAACAGTCAAAACTATCTCCAGACATTGTCAAATGTCCCCAGGGTGGCAAAAAAATCATCCTCAATCAAGAACCACTGCTTTAAAGCAAGGTTATAAGCACTTTTCATACTATTAGTCTTCATTAGCATTTAAAGACTGACAGATTTTTCCATCAAGCTGATGGACCATAGATTAAGCATCCCCTAAATTGGGCATTTAGACAGGAGCCACTTACAAATAAGGCTCTCAGGGACATCTTCACGTGGTCACTTTTTTCCTCCTATAATTCAGAAGTAATTCCTTAGGATCGATTTCCAAATAGGGGATCAGTTCATTGAGCAGGATGGTAAAATTGTAAAGCCTGGGCCTTCCGCAAAAGCCTGGAATAAGTAAGCTTGAAGAACCTTGGCTGAGTCAACTGACCTCTCCCCAGCCCACTGAAAGGTCTGGGATTCTGTTGCCTGGGGACAGGAAGCCAACACATCCTCTCCGTGGACATAAAGCCCTTTTGCTATTTCACTGAATGTCTATTTCACTGAAAAACGAAGAATGAAGTGATAAAAGCAGTTTCAGATGGCGGTTGGACAGTATTCGTCTAGATACTGCTGTGCAAAGCTGTCGTGAACAACTTGGAAACATGATACATAATTTAAATAATTAGGTACCGCTGGCAGCAGAGAAAGTTACTCTATTTAAAAGAAAATGTGTTTATCCAGAGTTGACTTCCTGGCTGTGGGAAGCTTCATGCTTTGGGTGCTGTTGGGGATGCCAGTGGAGTGTGGCAGGGATACAGGCCCGCTGAGTGGGTTCCAGGTGGAACAGTGACTCTCACAGAGCTTCTCCGAGGAGGAATTTTGGAGGAAATGTCTGAGTATGTGCAAATTTCACTTCAGCTGCTGGTCGCCGGGCTTTTCTTTAACTCCGCAGCTGTCGCCTGGTTCTGAGCCACCAGGCCGTGGGTGTCTCCGCCCCGCACTGCGCTAGGAGTTCCTGGGAAGCCGAGCTGGGTTGTGTTCCGTAGACCTGGGCTTTCTCGCTGCCCAAGGTCACACCCTGTTTGATTTATCACCGTATCCTCCGCGATGCCAGGGAGAGACCCTGGTAAACAGCTTCACGAGAGATTTGTCTGAGCAAATGATTGATCCAGTGAGGACTGAGATGGAGTTTGCTCATAAAACATTTGCTGAGAGAGAGGTTAAAGCCCCAGAAAACTGTCAATAAACACTTTCAGCCCCTTCTGAAGAAGCCATTTATTTACAAGGCACAATTACTTTATCAATTCCCAGTCCTTTACTCAGCTGTATGAATGGTTTACAAAGAGAATTTTTAGTACCATTTTATTACATACTATATTTAATTTGGAGCAGGAAAAGAAAAGGAGGGGGATTTGAAAAAATCCCCATAAACAACCTGTATATAACCACTATTAGCATTTTGGTATATTTCCTTTGCCTGATAATTTTTTGCCTAGAGTCATCTAATGCATATGAATGTGTGCCCTTTATCCACTTCACAGATGATTTGTAGCATTTTTTTCTATGTTACTATATGATATTCCAAGCCATTAATGCCTATTTCATTAGGTGTGAGTCCCTAACTCACTTAACCATTCTCTCACTGATGGACAGGTTGT